AATTATGACACTGCAAGTTAAATTATTGGATTTTCTATTCTATTAAAAAAGAGGAACAATCTAATTACTTCCAAGTCTTTATTTAAATTTGTGCATACGCTTTAATAATCTTTAAAGAAATGGCAATAATTATGATATTAAACGATATTAAATATGAAAGTTTGCAGTTAAGAAAAGGATTAATGCTGGCAACGTACCAAGTTTCGATAATTTTATGGACGAACGACTAGAGCATAAAATTTAAAATAGTATTATTGCCAGGCGTTAACCAAAGATCTCTTTTCTTTCACGTTTTGTGTGTATTCTTTCGAAATATATCTTTATCGTAAACATTTTAAAGAAATAAAAAATTATAATAGGTACGTAAGAGATTTTTGTATTGTAGTTCTTTCAGAATAACAACATATTTATATCCAAAGGCACTTATATACAAGGTAATTGATAAGTAGTATCATTTCTCATTGTTATGTGGCATTTATCTGTACCTGAGCAACGACCATTAGCAGAGTTGTTATGTTACACGCTGTTGTAAGCGATCGAATGAAGTATGACTGAACCGTTGTCACGTTACAGAGAGACGGAGCTGAAGCTTGTCCAACGTACTATAGCTTTACTAGTAGATACTATGTAGCCATTAGAGTCAACGGCTCATGTTGGACGAATGCCAACAATGCTAAGAGTTTTCCGTGCAATTTTACCATAAATCGAAATCGTATAGAATACCTTTATAAAAGATTAGACCAATTTTATTATAATCTATATTAACGCTCGGTAAATTCTAATTTGCGTTTAGAGCTGATGTATTATTAATTTTGCATATTATCACGATATAGATTCATTGAGTTTTCGTGTGAATAGCCGATAAATTTTCATGTTGAAACTTATGTAAAGTTTTCTAGTAATTCACATTTTTATGGTTTAATTATCACGGCATTAACGCTTATTAACTCACGGATATATTTTTGTTTAGTTTATGCCGTGTTCCAGGGGACATTTACCCAAGAAATGAACAATTTGCAAAGCGTGTGTTATATTTCCGGAAATACGTGTTATCTATAAGAGACCCATCTCTGGGTCAGTCATGATTAATGATGTACTCGGTACGGAGCTAGAGTGGTGAATATTTGATAAGCCACTCGCCGCGAAGGGGAGGTATGTCCCAACGGGATAGAACAATCACTGTTCATTGTCACTGCCTGGCTAAGGAACGGGCATGCTAGAGATGTACAGATTTTGACATTGACTGATAAAAGTTGGTAAAGCTGCTCCTATATTTTAAACGTGGAAAACCGACTGTTATTATTTATAATAAGGCGAAGGATTACATGCATTATAATATGCAGTATCTTTTTTGATTCGTAACAAAGCTCACTATTCTTCTTAATGAATATTAATCATACTAAAAAGTGTTTTAAGATAAAGGAAACAGCATGTAAAAAATATAAGAATATCTTAATAATTCAAAAATCAACATCCAAAATGTGCAAATATTTTTGTAGATTAAATATAGAAATTATCTACGAAGTGCCAGCGTATCTTAATGATAACCAACCTGTAAAAATGATACGTGCACCTGTGAAAATAAATATTATCTGAAAGATATAATGAGCGATCTGATAAAATAATAATCTTACCAAATGAACAATTAGAAGTTTATATCGTAACGAATATCTGATTTACGTAGTATGAAAATTAATATACGTAGTGTGAAAATAAATATGTCTATACAATATATGAAAATTATCATATAATAATAATATAAAAGCCATTCGAATACTACAGAATATATATATAGGCCTATATAAATTTTACAAAAATCAATCTCTGTAACAAGTATTTGAATAATAGATAACTCAAACCTGAAAAGAAAAAATACGACTGAATAATATAAAAATCGTATCCTAAAAGTAGGCTATATTTGAATAATATAAAAATCAACATCTGAAATATACAAAAAGACGCCTGAATTATGCAAAGAAGTATCTGAAAAGGCTGCTTTTTTGCGTAATTCAAGCGATTTTGTTTTTTTATTCAGATGCTGATTTTTACTAGTGTGAAGTTAATCAAATTGTTTATTTCGTTCGTAAAATTAAAAAGACAAAAAGAATCGGGTGTAATAAAATTCTAATAATGAAATACTTAAACCTTATATATTATTTCTAAAAGAAATTTGATTATCGAAATGAGAACTCGAACAACGTTGGCGAAAATTAAATTTTTGATGCTTTTAGCGTTCTGCATGTGTGTGCCATTTCGAAATTGAATTGAAAAGCGTCAGAGAAAGAGAAAATTGTGTTGTAATCTGGAAGAAATAAATCGTTAGAGTTTCGGAAAAAATAAATCACTCGGAGAATTTATTTATTGCCACAGAAATGTGTTTAAATGAATAAAAAAAAATTGTCGATAAATTCTTCATTCGCTTTGTAATCCCAGCGATGATAAACCGGTCTCTTTAATGACAACTTTAATATGTAATCAAATCCGGGGTCGGCGGACTCCTCTTGATATTCCATGTCCATGTTTGAGTTGCTGCCTATAAATATGCCTGTATTACATCATCTCAATTTTGACATTTTTTGAAATTTGATAATAGTAATTTCCAGGGTCAAAAAGGATAACGGAGTAGATCTATTAATAAGATAGATTGGATATTAATAGTAAAACGGTAATTTTAAATAGTATCTAGTACAGACGTTCATGGTATGGGCATACGAGTACTCTCCATTCGCCATTCATCAAATCGGAAAAAATATCGAAATTTTTTTAAAGACATTATCTTTCTCGTTTCTTATATCGATATTAAAAATAATTAGCCTATATAAAGTAATTTTCTCTCTTTATACATATATAATGTTATATTTAATTTTTTCAAATGTTTAAACTAGACACATCATCATTCAAATATTATCTATGGGTTTAAAAAGAAGGATTGTATCCATCTTTTCTTATTAACTTATCATGTTTCAGTTCTCGTTGTTATTATACTGTCAAGCTAGTTGTATTGTAAGTTTTATTACAGAGTTTTAAGTGCAATCAAAAAAGTTGAGTTTGCGTAGTACGTAAAAAAAGTAGACTTACTATTATATAAGACATTGGTTGTAAATTATCGAATGTAATAAATTTCAGTCATATCCATTAAAAAATACATTAAAAATTTTAATTCATTTTCGTCGATAAGATTAATATATTTTCAACATAAATTTATATTTTGTATACTACAAGCTTCTTGTAAGTGAAGTATGGACTGTGCTACAAATAAGTGAAACTAGTTATTACTTCGGATGTTTACACGCGAATTGATTTTAATATTGAGATATTGAATACAAATTAAACGTTAAAGAATTAAAAATTTTTATTTTGAGAATCGTAAGTTAATATTCTTATCTTCCAATTTATTTACTCTCTACCTTTTAGTAAGTTATTCTAACTTCAAATATAAAATTCAACATCAAAGTCAATATAATTTTTGTGTTTAATCGGTTTTATTTATTGTTATAAGCCTATATATTTTCTAATATTTCTATCAGAAAGTTTAAATATTAAAATTAATTTATAGATTAATAAATCATAAATTGAAAAATTATTTAAATAAAAAGAATAAATAAATAGTCTATATTGTAGTATTTAATATGTAATCTAGGATAATGTTACGGTCTTTCAATTGGAAAAATTTAGAAACATTGTAGGCCTATAAAATACAGTATAGAATTTTTTACATTACGTTCAGTAACAATGTTACAATAGACTTTATTAATTGATATCATTACGCTATAAAAAGTCCGTGCAGTTCATTTGTTTTCATTATATAAAACATTAGGCACATGCTATGCTGTATTATTTAAATAATTCATAACGTATGGATATTATTATTTAAAAGTTGTAAACATCTTGTTATATAGACCTTGTAGGTCTATAAACAACAAAATGTTGTAGTCATATATAAGAAAATGACGGAATTTTAAACTATTAAAATCATTTATAAATGTGCTTAAAATATTAATAAGAAATATTCGAATACAGTATTAAAAATTTAAGTTAATTTTATTTTAAATACATATTTATTTGATTATTATTATTATTATTATTATTATTTTTATTTTTTTATTTTTTTGAATTTGACAGTTCATATTTTATTCGTGTTATTTCAATTATAAAGAGCTAAATTTGCGTAGGCAATTAGTTTCTATAATTGAAATATGAATTTATTTCGCGTTCTTGCCCTTTTGAAAATTTAATGTTACTTTTTTTATTATTTTAAAGATAAAGTGAGAAAAATCCATAAAAATACTCCGCTACAATTTGAATAAATTTCTTATCTAAATTGGCTTGGTATTAACTAATGAAAATGGATTCAGTTGTGAGTGGCATTGTATCTGGTCTGTAACTGAGTTGCTGCAATTGTATGCGTGGATCAATAAATTCATATTAATTTTAGATTAATTGAAGCGAAAGATGTGAAGTGACTTCCATCGTCGATTCAAATATATGGTCCTCATGTGAGCAGTAATGAGATAGGAAGTTTGCCTTGAAGGAACATTGCCATTTTTGGGTAGTTGCCAAAACACGGAGGTCGTGGAGTCAGTTGTAGGATATTAACGACGTTGTCTGTATGTAATTTTGATAATGTAGTTTTATACCGGCTTTGTTAGTCTATTAAGGGTTTCTTCTGTTTTCTAATGGTGTACGCTTTGCCGAGACTGTTAGCAACGATGTGTACGCAAAAACGGCGTGTTTCAACTTAGTATTCTTTTTTTTTTTTTTAAAAACGAAGATAACGGCTTTTTTATTCTTTTTTTTATGCTCGATGAGATAGACATTTTCTTTCTTCGTTTTGGCCCTTCTGTTGATTGACGTACCGGTACACTCCGAATACAAATGCCAATAAAACTAATTTTATTACCAATAACTGGTAAAATAATGATTTATATGTGTACATATTTTTATTTATTTTTGTAATATGTATGTGTCACACATCATAATTGATTTTTCTTTCTTTCCAGAAACCCTGACTATCGATCTCAGTCTAGGGTTTACTCAGTTATCACCCCAGGAGGTCATAGTTCAAAGGAATCAACCTCTGCTACTCAATTGTACCGGCTACTCAGAGAGCGAGTATGGCCCACTTCGCATCACCTGGAGATATGAGGTATAACAATGAAATTAATAAATTTAATGTATAATAACAATATAAAGCTATTAATATCCTGTTTTAAAATAATTTGAATTGCTAATTCAATACTATTGTTATGATTATAAATCTAACTTAATAGAAATGCCTAACACAAACATTTGTGCTTAAAATTTTAAGTGATTTTAAATCGAATTTTTTTTTATTATGCTAAAACTTAATTAGGGTTTAATCTCAAGAATTCAAATGATTATCTAAATGAGGTTGACATTGAATTATAAATAAAACTCATTAAGTGTTTTTATCAATGTTTAAACCGGATTTTGCGCTTTAAAAAATTGCTAATTCCATTAGAACACTTTCTTTGTTCTATATATGATAGTTCCATATTTATATGGGATAATACGGTATATTTATATGGGATAATACAGATAATTTTTATATTGTTTAGCACACACAATATAAAAATTCAAGGTACAATAAATTATTCGTATTAATTAATTTATTTGTGCATTTAAAGGTATTATTTTTTATACTGAACGGTTTATTAATATTTAATATAAAATTTAAATATATCTACTTTATTAAATATTACAAAATTAAAAATATAGTTTTTAAGAAATATTGCAAAAAAACTTTTTATAACAGAAAATGTATAAAGTTCATTAAATAATGATAATTTCACACAAAAGAGACAATTTATTAATTACAGTTAATTTTAAAAATTACGTAACAATTTGCGTCAATAAGAGGCGATCCTAAAATATAATCACAAATAATAATAATAATAATGTATTTTGTTGTTATTCTGGAAATTAAAATGAAGGAAAATAATACTTTTATTTGTTTAAAGTAAAATAAATAGTTAAATGCAAATTGCTTTTGGCATATTTAATCATGTAATTTGTGGTTTCATTACTAATTAAAATGTTTAAAAAAGATATTAAATTAATTTTTGTATACATGCTTATAGAAGTGTAATTTATGCTATGTAAACAAGAGATAAGTTAAAAGTTATTACATAACGTAAGACGTAGATAGGACTCATAATTTATAAAAGGTCCAGTTGAAAATAAATAAATAGTAATAATTACTTTATAGAAAATGTAGAAATTTGATACAAGTTAACTTTTAAAATTGGAAAATTAAGTTTAAACGGAACATCTACAAAAAAATAAAATAAAAAATTATATAAGAATTTATAGGACGTCGTTTGTTGTAAATATCGAAACCATGTATCACATGAAAATAAATATTAAAGACTGTTTTGTATCTTCTATTTAAAATTTTTCTCTTTCTAAAAATCAAACTTATAGTAAAGCATATTTTCTGCTTAAATTTAAACAACTAGTCTATCATATTGCTTTAAAAATGCTGGGATATATTGTATTTATATATCATGATGAAATATTTCATAATTATAAATACTATTATAATACCATTTTAATTAGCAGACATTCTATATCGCTTACTTAAATTAATAATTAATATTTACAGTTATTTTCATTTATAATCGTAAACGATTAGAGAAACATAAGTTCAAAGTCATCAAATAGTAAATAAATGTACAAATAAAATGTATGTAATCTTAAAACTAAATTTTAAATTGTATTTTGTACAAGAAAATAAATTTAATATATATATATGGTACCTTTTTGTGTAGATGCTAGCGACTTTCTTCAGACTAACCTACAGGAAAATTCCATGAAAATTTTAAACCCTCCCAAAAAATTCTCAAAATTCTACTTTTCGAGATTGTGAGATATTCTCGGTAATCTGACAGACCAAAAATACGTAATTATTTTTTGCCGAAAATAAAAAAGAATTTATGTTATGTTTGATTTATCCTTCTGTAAGTCAATATAAATTAATTAAAGCAATATTATTAAATGACATCAATAGTATAACGTATTACCGATATAAAAATGGAAATAAAAAAAAAGATTCCAATTTGTTTTATTTTGATATGTTGTATATAATTATTTTCAATTGATTTATATTCATTAATTTTAATTTCTATCTACTTTTAATTTAAAATATAATTTAACACTACTTAACATTAAATGTTTGCTTATGCTAAAGGCTATAAGTTATAAACGCTATTAAAAATATTTAAATGCGTCTGGTTGTATTAATTGCTTGCAAAATTGATCGTATTACCTCCCTCATAGGGCGATTCTTATTAGATTTTTGTTATTCATCGCAACTAAGCCATTTCTGAATGCGGATAAAATCATTACATAAATGAAGATTATTATTCAATTTAATGTAGGAAACGTGCAAAATTAAATTTTCTAGTAGACTTGAATATTTTACCTTACAATGAAATATTCTTATAAATTATTAACATTCGTGATTGCACGTTGCCTAATTTAGTTAATAGGCTTAATAAATATGGAAATCTCAGCAACAAACAATTTATAAAAGACGACAATAAATCTACTTGACTGTTGCAGGGCGAGGAGTTGGAACAGAATAAACACCAATATGTGCTAGAGAATGGTTCTCTCGTTATTGATAGGATTACAGGACAAAAGAAGAACCATGGACGTCGTGATGAAGGAAATTACACTTGCCTCTTACACAACAATGTAGGAACTTTGGTTAGCAGAACTATTCGAGTCATTGTAGCACGTAAGTATTTCTACATTAGTGCATTCGTCTTTATTTCTTTTACTTTAGGTGAAACTTATCCATTTATTTATTTTTACTTTTGTGGATACTTTGTTATATTTTCGATGTATGTATTATTTTTTGCATATTGTTTAATTGTATTCGTTATTAATTAGTGTTAGCAAAGAAATTATATATGACTTTAAAATTTCCATTCTGTGTTAAATTATGCTATGCTTTATGAAAATTTAGTCCTTTTATTTTATTTAATAATGTAGTGACTGGAACGAAATACAGAAGCTGCAATTTATCATTTAGATTTTTCTCATTCTTACAGAATTGATTTTTTTCCCTCCATTCCATCCTCCAAAGTCAGTAACAATTGCAGTTTCAGGCTCATTTATCCTCCCCTCCCTTACGTCACGTTTTCAGCTGTGCAGACGCATACGACGTTCTATTTATGACGTCACAGGGTTTACTAAGCCCTTCTTTTGTTTGCCAACCGGGCCCGGGTTAACACCGTCCAGAACTCATTTCTATTATATGAATAATGGATGGAAAAGCATACCTCGTGTCGAATATAATTAATGATATCTAATATTTTTTTCTTTCTATCTCTCACGTTCCCGTTTTTGACTTGACAATATCAATGATGTTTTATTTTTTTCCTGATTACTAATTTTTTTTTCTTCTTTATTTTGCAACATGGAAAAGGAGAAAAATAAAAAGCTATAATGTTGTTTTCTTATCAATAAAATCGATTTCTTTAATACTGAATACTTTAGTGTTTCACCGAACTTTAACTATTTGTTTGCAATGATTCAATCGTTTGGTATAATAATTATTTTATTATTGCATAATGATATTTAATCTAAGATATAAAAACAATAAAATTTCAAGTAGAAACGGATGACTGACTTTTTACATAATGATATCAGAAAATTTTTATGACTTTCCTCCTGTAGCATTTCCTCTGCTTAGATGAATATTATCTTGTAAATAAACTAACAAAGCTTTGGAGAATGGGAAAATTAGAATTTAATTTAACAGATGTATTTATTTTGTACTAGAAAGAATATAAATTAATATAATTATCAAAGCTTATTAGCATATCAAAACAAACTGAAATATGTCATCTCTTCAAGAAGAAAAATGAACTTTTATGGTCTTTTAGTTGAAACATTATTTTTGTTTTGATATTTAGTCATTTTTAAATATGCATTACATTTATGTAATTTATTCTTTATTAGGTTTTTTGTCCATTTCTTCCATAAGATTATATATAACTATTAAAAATAAACATACTATTATTATTTAATTGCATAATGAAGTAGGTTAATATACTTTATTCATAGTATTTAATTATTTCTATAACCTTTCAAATTAAAATATTTTTTATTTGTGATTTTATTTACATAATTATATTAATGTCATTGTCAAGTATTCATAAATTTATTTATATATAAAATATTGTTATTTTGTAACTAACTTATGTATCCCTAGATAAAGGAGTTAATCCTTGAGAGATTATTAATTAATTGATTACATATAAAGTATTTCTAATACTGGTATAAATTATAATTTATTAAAATATTTAGGATTATTTTTTTATTTTTTGGGAGGAGATAATTATTGTACTTTTTAGAAATTATCTGAAAAATAAAAATAAAACAAATAAATTTCATTTATCATTATTCTTATATTTTGAGATGTGAAAAAAATACTTCAAAATAGTAATAAATTTCAAAAATTGTAGTTTCATATAATAATTACATCTGTTCATAAAAATTTACAGTGTATAAGTTAGTTTGAAGATATAAATTTTTGATTTATAATAGTAGTACAGTTATGGTTTAGGTATCTGTCATAATATCAAGATTCGATTTTTGTTAGTGTATCTAAATTTTAAACAAATAAATTATTTTATTGTTATTTGTATTCATATTTATTTCAGAAAAAATTCAAGGCTAGATTTTTCTTTAAAACAACTAATAATATATTTTTGAAACTGAGTATTCTGCATAACATTATAAATAATATAAGCATATAAAATAAAAATGCTTCATTTATATGCCTATTAAAATAATATGTTTTATTTAATTACTAGAAGACTAAAAAAACCTGAAAACTTGGCATTTAAGAATAACTAAAGCATTAATCTTCAAATTTCTATGAAACATTTGTTTAATTATCAATGACTTTTCCTGTAAGATTTAATCAATTTTTACCTAAGAGCAAAATGTCTATTAATTTAACAAAAATTTAAATTATGATTTTTCCTCAATTAAATTCAAATATAAATTAGATTCCATATATTATTATTTTTTAACAAACACATATTAAATTCTTCATTCTAATATGCAGCATCTGCAAGTTGGAATGACTACTTAATGTGTTATATTTTTTTTACAAGTTTAAAAAAATAAAATATTAGAAAAATATATACTATATAATTTTATAGGAAATGTTCATCCAAAAGTGCAGACACATCAAAGGATAAAGCAATCATGTTTGTCATCTTTCTTCTTCCCTTTTTTTGCTAGCAGAAATCCAATATTTATTGCGTGATGTTGTGCAGTTTTGTTGTTATGATTTTGTAAGTAGAACATCATAACATTATTAGAAAACTGGATTTTAAAATAGAAAAGACTAAATCATTTTTCTTCAAGAAATCAAAAATATATCTTAGCTACCGTCTGAATTATAATCCTGTTCTAAAAGAAACCAAATATATATATTTCTCTTTATAACATTATAAACTGGCGTGTATATATATTATAGCTATATGAAATTTACAAAAATTGTCTAGTTAGTTTTAATTTAGTAGCAATAATAATTTTTTTCCGCCTTAAAACGCTTTTAATGAAGCAAAAATTAAAAGAGCATTTCTGTGTATGTATACTAAGAAATTTTGTTGTGCAAAAATAATTTTCTTCTCAAAGTAACGCGATTTAGATGAGTTAATTTATGTTTACATACTGTAGTTTAGACAAAAAAAAAAAAAAACGAAAAAAGAAAGAAAAATGCATTCCCTTTCATCCTTGATAGAAACTGCTTGTTTAAGAAACTGTTGCAGGTGTCCATGAGTATGACCTCTTTCGCGTTAACTGAGATGAACTATTTTCGAAATGAAAACACTTGATTATTATATTGTATTAATTGTTACATTATCAAGTTGCGATGATAGACTGATATTATTAAAAATTCTTAACATTATCGATGTTTTTAGTTATGTATTGATGGGCTTGTTTAAAAAAACATAGTGTTTTATGTTTGTAAAAAAATTCTGAATATAAAAAATCTTTTTAAAATTAAAAATACTATTAGTAAATGCATTTAATGTTATATCCGATTCATTTTATTCGTACAAAGTTCAGGCATACAAATTTATTATTGTGTAATAAAAAATGAAAAATAAATTGTATGAAAGTAAATTTAAAATAATGAAAAATGATGAGAAATATAATGATATTTAAAAACAGAAAACTTTTATAACTTCTGTTTTAAATTTCACAACAATTCATTATTTATGTATAGTTATGCAAATTAGTACATTTTTCAGTATTTAAAAATAAAATTTTAAATACTGGAAAACTTACTAATAACGTTAACAATTGCATGTTGTTGTGTACGTGTAAATCCCAAAAAATATTTCACTTTAATAAATTTTTAAAGTTTAATTCAATTAAATTTCTTCATTGTACCACAAAATTTATGTAACGTTAATCATATAAAATTTTTTATTGAAGTTTTAGATTTATAAAAAAATATTATAATTTTTCCTAATTAATTATTATTATTTAAACTAGATATGAATTGCTTATGGCAAAGTTTGGTTTTTATAATAATAAAAACTAAAATTTTTATTAAAAATATGATAATTTTTATTGATCTGAATGCGAAAAAGTTTGTGTTGAATGATGAAAAACGTTATAATTCATAAATTTTTTTAACTGAAATATTTTATTGGTTTAAGAAATAAACGATTGGTGCCTAGCGTACAATACATTTACTTTCGGTATTCAAACAATTGAAAACAAATTAGATAAAGTACGAAAATATAATTTATCTAGAAATACTGGTTTATATAGTACATCATCATAACGCACGATTTCTCACAATCTTGTGGGAGTAGAGAACCGGAAATGGAAAGAACAAACCTAATACCATTGTCGTTTCCGTTGAGATCGTGTTATCCGACAGCGCGTGTCCACGGGTATCTAATGCCTCGACCTTGTCATGGCTATCCAGAGTCACTTCTGTCAGTTTTCATTGCACCTAACGGAGAACTAATGATTCATCAACTGGCTTGAATCTGACACCTACAGGTTGAATGCGATCTCCTATCTTCGTGTTTCATTCCTGTTGATCATTATTACACTCATATCAGTGCTTTTTTTGTTTTGTTTTTGGAGAAGAGATTTTATGATATTTAATAAACTATCCCTTTTTTGGAATTAGATCTTTTTAAACTTTAATCTATTATTATTTTCAATATCTTCCATTTAGAAATGACTTAATATAGATTAATAAATGATATATCATATTTCTAGTTTATATCTCAAAGGTGTGATGCTTTTTCTTAAAAGTGTAATTAGGAATTGTTATAATTGCTTATGTCCAGTTGTGTATTGCTATGACATGTCACCATGGTGATAAACTTCAGTGCTCTGGAGAGAGAGGTCGAAGGTCAGGAGGCGCCGGAGGGGATAGCGTTCCGCATCACACAACAATCTCGTCAAATTAGCCTGCTTCTCGTTTCTATAGCGACTAGGAGAGAGAGAGAGAACATCCTTGCTCTAATAAAAACACACACACTTTCATGATAGCGCTTTTAACTTCCTGATTTGACATCAAATAAAACTTCGTAATCAACAAAAACTGATTTATGTAATTTATTTTATCTGTTAAATAGTTTTTAAAGCTTTCTAACATGCTTTTTTTTAAACTGGTTAATCAAGTAGAAAATATGTTATTTAAATAAATACATACACCTTTTACTTGTAGCACATACATAAAAC